TGCTTACACCATATAGGCAGAATCTTGCCAGACTAAATCTATACTACTGCAACTAGTGGATATACCCTGGGGGATTCTAGGGAGTAGCTATCTTGAACCTCTTTCGTTTCCCATGCTCCACCTCCGGACTGGTTTTGCCTTTTGTCTCCTTGCCCTTCCTGAAATGCACCCCCTCCTTGCTCTCTGCTGCAATCCACCACATCACCCTCCCCTTCATAGACACATTCCATCACAGAATTACAGAAAGCTTTGCGCTTTTATGATCCCCACCCTCTATTTCATCCTCTTAGTATATGAAAAGATCAGAAACAGCCCTCCTAATCGGCAGTTTTGAATTGACCACGGTGTCTAGTAATGTGAACAGGACAATAAGGCAGAATGTGAGAATACAGTGTTCAGTAACTAAGGAGAGATATGCAATATTTCAAGCTTAGACTTCTGCTTGTGCAACAGGAGTCTGCCTAGCTCTCGTTCTCTTCACCCCCAGTGTGCTCTGAAAGGCCCCCTAGCTCTCTGGGGAAAGGAAAAGGAAATTCAGTCCACCGCAACATCTCTACTGAAGGATGGACATAATTTGATACAATTAAGAGCTTAAACAATTTTTTTTCAAAGCCAAGACACAATAGAAAACTGTAATTAATTTCAACCAGCATTCCCAATCCAACGTTTTCCAAATATGTTGGACTACAAGTTCTTATGCTTATGGTTTCCAAGTATAGTCTCCTATAGGTTGTGCTTTTGCTGTTTTGTTTGGTCTCTTCTGGTTATGATCTGTTTCTTAACTTTTATTATTCTTGCTTTTAAAATGTAAGCTGCCCTGAGTCAAACAAATGCTCTTTCCCGCTCTATGAATCAACATGAACTGTAAAAATAATTTAAGCTGAATAATCCCCTGGCAATTACCAGAGATGATGGATATATCCTGTAGAGGCTCAAAAGAACTTTATTCTTTCATGTATATAGTAATTCAGCACAAATTTTGACATAAGATTACAGAAAAATGCTAATATCAGGGTTTGGAAGAATTTAACATATTGAACTGAACATCATCTTCAAAAGTTTTCATTCAAATAGTCAAAAAATCAGTTAGATAAATGTAATTATGATCTAAAATCATGCCAGAATTATTTTCTCTGTTTCAGGAACTATATAAAAACATCAAAGACTTATAACAAAACCCAAAGTGTTATTTGTAACACTTAAAAATTAACCAATTCATTATAGCATAAGATTTGATGAAATTGTCTATGTCCAAAAGAATCTTATATTACAATATATTGTTAGGTTGTAGGATGCAACAAGATTCCTCATTGTTGTTTGCTGCAGTAGGTTAGTACAGCTATACTCTGAAAGTTATTACCATAAACAATGTCATGGATATGTCTGATCAATATATGCATAATTTTACTGTTTGAACTAACATGAGACGACTAGTGACTTACTATATATAATCACTGTAAGAGTCAACTTTTATTTCTCCTTGATACATTAGATTTTAAAATATAAGTTGATTTGCTTTTACAAGTTTTTCAACTTAACTAGGACAATGTGAAAATGATCCATGAGACACTTACTTTACAGACATTGTGCAGGCACTCTGTGGTCACCGGCTGGTAAACCAGCTCCTGGCAGCAAACACACATAAAGGATTGTTCCAGTTTCTTCAAAAAATTCTAGGACAGGATAAGGGAAAAATAATTAAGTGAAATGCTGAAGTGTCCATGATCTTTTCATAAAATACTACTGTTTCTATATCAACCCAGATTTTGTTTGGGGCCTGGAATATAATATTTGAAATATGTCTTCTATTTTAATAAATATGCCACATATTAGCCAAATTGTGCCTTTACTCTCTTCAGCTCCTCATGCACTCTGAATGGTTGGGGAACTTTCCAAAAAGTTGCAGGCAGAACAAAGTCCTTGTTGTTCCACTGAAATCCAGTTGCATGACATTAAAAGGAAACAATGCAGAATATTGGTTAAAACACAAAACATACTGGTCCTTCCTTAAGAAATTTAAGAACTTCATCCCATAATTTCTGGTTCGGAGAGTCCTCCTGTATCAACCATTGTTGTTGCTGCGTTAGCTGAAAAGCTTCTCCTTTCCCTCCATCACTCATCTTCATGGTTTTGGCTGTGTTTGTAGGTTGCTTTATATTGTCTGGAAAAAATGTTATCAAAGTACAATGATAAATTTACACTGGCTTCTTAGACTAGCTAGATATCCTGCAGGAACAGGCTTACTGATTAAATTATAAAAACTTCATATTTTACCAGAAAATGGAAAAAACATGAAAACAATCTTAAAGTAGAAATTTTCCAGAACATACATATTCAGTTTTATTCTTCATGTTTCTTGTTACTCTGAATGTAATACATTATATTCTGAAAATATATCCACCCAATTCTAAGGACAAACCAATGGATAGTATATTGATATTTGCAAAGATAGTTCTCACACAACTAGTGGTCTGACAAAAACTGTTGTTTTTCTTTTAAAGATACTTTCAAAGAAAAAGTAGAGTTTTCCTTTTTATATGGAAGAAATTTCAAATAACTCCCCGCAAGAAAACAGTATGATACTTAACTCCAATCTTAAATATTGAAAACAAACTCCTTCTTAAAATGTGTAAGTTCGTGTAATTACTGCAGCAGCACCATCCACCCATAAGGGAAGCACTGGCACCTCTGAAGGAATTTAAAGGTTTGCAGAATAGAAAAAAATATCATACAGGGAATTGCAAGCAGTCCAGTGAGGAATGATTGTGCTCCACAGGCACAGAATGCCAACTCATGGGAAAATTCAGAGCGAAGTATCTTAAAATTCAGAGTGGAGTATCTTAAAAGAGAATATAGGCAGCAAATAGAAGAAGCAACAAATTAGCATGCTAAAAGCAAACTTTTTTTTTACAGTGTTAAGACAGTATTGTCCTGACCTGAACAGAACATGTATCTTTTGACCTTTTTGTAGCCAAGTTATACCTCTGAAGTTGAAATGATGCTCAGTTTAGCACTTCTTGGAATAGCAAATCCATGACCTTTAATTTCTTGTTCTTTTCTTTTACCAGAATATGACGCAATCCAGAAGTGCTCACTTTGGCTGAAAACTGATTCTTAATTAAACTATTTTCACTTGAAGCCATTATTTATAAAGGGTTTAATTTTCCTCCATTTCTTTGAAGTTCAGAATGCTGAACATTTAGTATTTATGTGTAAGTTCCTTGTCAGCAATCCTTGTTCCAAAATAGACCAGCATGATTATTCCCAAATTAGAGGTTGAAGATAAACATCTGAGCGACAACGGCATATCTATAACTGTTGTGAAATAATAATGCCAAACTGGAAGGGTTTTATGGGTGCATTTTAGAATATGAATAACTTAAGTTCCTCAAAGTTGTACATTAAGTACAAGAATCATTGTGGAATGTGACCAGCTCTCTATAAAGAGAGGCTTCATAAAATGACTTCCTTCCCTGTTATTGACCTACTGTCTTGTCAAGAACCTCCAAAGCTTTCATATGCCAAGTATCAATCCCAACATTTCAATTTTTTTCTTGCATCGTCCCTCCCTTCTACAAGTTTCTAATATATCGTAGAAAAATCTTAAATCCCCTCTTCCTTTGTTAATCTATATAGTAATGGCCAATAGTAACCTATAGCCAATATTTTTTTTAAATGACCCAAAAACTGCACTGTCAAATTCTGGCAGAAAATGCAGGAAACTGAAGGATAATTTCTCACGATTCTTGGTAATAAACAAACAAACATTTTGAAGCACCCTGAAGACATGGCTCTTCCCCCAGGCCTTTGGCGAGGATGACCGCTGCCTCTGTTCTTCCTTTTCCTTGTTCCTATCTAGGTTTGTTTTCTCTGCCATCTCTGTTCCTTTGCTTTGTGTTGTTGTTCTTAATTTTTTGTATTGCTACTTGTTTTTAAACGTTTTTACAATTTGTAAACCGCCCAGAGTTGCTGGGAGTTGGCTGGCATATAAATTTAATAAATGATTATTATTACCAACAAATATGTACGCCTTCATTTAGATTTAACTTATTCAAAAATGATCCTAAATATGTACGCCTTCATTTAGATTTAACTTATTCAAAAAGGATCCTAAATGATCCTAAAAATGATCATTTAGATTTAACTTATTCAAAAATGATCCTTTCAGCTTACAGAACTCTATTTATTGTATTTCCAATAACTTAAAATCACCCACACTTTCTGAAAACAACCCTCCCTCCACTCTAAAATTCAAGACCCCTCATTTAGTTGACAGTGGTTATACAAAACCTAGTGCTATGGGTCTTTGGATGATATGGAATATCATTTCTTGAGGAAGTGATTGGAACTTATTTATAAGGGTAAGTCTAATGGTTAATACATATGGATGAGAGTGCATACCTAGCGTGATTGATACTTCTGTCAATGCCCTGGCCACTGGCTGGCATAAAGACTCCTAAATGTCTTCTCTCTGAAGGTACTCATTCAGCCCTGCAGTTCACCAGCTAGTTAGGAATGAAGAAGCGATGGAACAATAGATAAAACATAGGTGGAAGATGACTCAGAAGAGATCCAATTGAATACAAGAAAGAACCAATATGAAAAGGCTGACTTCTCAAAGCTGACAGATATATTAGATGTATGAGGGGACCCAGAGAAATTATGTTTCAATATACAGTGGGGCAAAAAAGTATTTAGTCAGCCACCAATTGTGCAAGTTCTCCCACTTAAAAAGATGAGAGAGGCCT